CACATTTAGGAGAGCTAAGTTAGGTTCTCTCAGCTGTCCCTTCTATCATGTATAGAAATTGGAGTGGACCAATAAGCTGGATTGGTTGTATTGTTGAGTCACGAAACTTTTAAAATATGTTTGATGAAAACTTTTTGGGTGGCAAACTACTCTAATCATGTCTGATTTTGTTCTGTGCTCACTTCTTCTCATTGTGACTCAAACGTTCTTTTACCTCACAATCACGTGATATAATATATATTTCAAAGGTAGTAGTTAAGTCTCAGGCACCATTTGAGGATGTCAAGTTGCAGAGCAACAACTGTCCTTTGTCCATTGCCATTTCAAGAAAGCTTCAAAAACAAATCCTAATTTCCAAACTAGGTAAGCTAATCACTCTTAGAAAATGTTAGTTATTATATCAGTTTGTGTTAACGTGTGCACACGTGAAGTTAAATCTATATGAATTTGGTTTTACTAATTTTATTTAAAAGTAACTTCAAAATAACATATTTTATGTTTATAAAAATTTTATTTGAAAATTATTTTAGAACAATTTAATTATCATTTTCAATTAACATCAAAATTAAACTTTCTTCACACCCATATAAAAGTACAAACATGGTGTGTGTTTAAAAAAATATAAAAATTTGAATGATGTTAATGATAGAAAATGGAATGGTGGATGGAAATAGTATATGAGCAAAAGGGTATAAAATCGGAGCAGATCTAGTCCAGCTAAGAGATGGTGACACTAAAAAAAGAGACCAATGCTACGTGTCCACCTTTTCTTATGTGTATGTCAGCCCCACATGTTTTTTTATTCGTGCAATTCCACACGAACCCATTCCCAATATATATTCGTTATTTCCTTTTTCATCTTCAATTTCTTTTTAACATTTTGTTGATAATTTTTTTTAACAAGGAACAGTATTATTAACTGTTAACTATTTGCCAAGTAAAATTAACATAAATAAAATGTTCCACATTTTTTCTTTCAATATAAGTCTCTTCCTTCTTCAGATGAAGCTTTAAGTATTAATAATTATTGAGAGATCTATCATTTATCCATCCACGGCACCTTCATCTGTAATAATAAAGTGCCCTCTCAACAAAAATTATTATCATTATTACAAATAGAAATGATAATTTCAAATAACTCTAATGCAAAAAAAAATTTTAAATATTTTTCATTAGTTCATGTAATAAAAGCCATAATTTTGTTATGATTTTGTAAAGTGTTAGGATTTAATAGTAATTTTTTAAATAGTTAAAGATAATAATTAAACTTAAGACGTGATCCTCAAAGTATTTAAAAGTTTATAATTACGTTTTTATACTTGACGAAATTTTAATAAAAATGTAGACTCAATTAAAAATATTTAAAATTTCAGAGATCTAATCACGACTTTTTAAAGTTAAAAAAAATATTTATAACTTTCTAATAAAACATAAGGACTTACATTGTAATTTAACCATTTATAAAAAAATGAAATAAATATTTAATTAATTTGTAACTCCCTAACTTTTGAATCCCAATATCCTAACATCATAATAAGTATTTAATTGATTAAATTTGAGCACTAAAACTCTGTCAAATTTTAACGCACATGGATCCCAAATTGTGTGAACTCGAGACTCTTGATTAATTTAAAATAGTATGATATTAACTAATTTATGTGCTGAATGATATAATCAAATAATTATTAATCTAAGTAAATTATTTTATTATCCGTGTCAAATAAATATTAATTTTTTAATTAATTATCTAAACGAAAGTACTTATGAAAACTCGTTGATGACTAGCTAATCAATTGAATTAATTATAAACAACGTTTGTCAAAAATAGATAAGATAAAGCAGCTAAAAGTAAAAGAAAGATGACAAATAAAATAACTATTCTAATTGAAAAATGTTAACTAATACATAGTTAAAAACTATTAAAATGATTTATTAAAGTAAAAAAAATTGTTAAAATCAACTTAACTTTTATCACTTGTACATATAAGATCAAATATTTTTATTAAAATATAAATAAATAGTTAACAATTTAAAATTAATAAACGGCCTACAGATGAGATTCTTAAAATTTTGTGAGTGAAAATAAAAAAAAATCAATTATAAATTATAATTTTAAATGTTAAGTAGTATACATAAAAAAGTTTACAAGCTAATAAAATGATTTTATTTATTAAATATTTTCGTTTTGCTCAATAAATTTAATTTTAAACTAAATCAAATCAACTCTAATATAATTAGAATGACTTGTCAAATACTCATTTGTACTATAGATATTGCATCCATTAAATATACCAAAAGTCCTAGAGAAAGTATGACAACCACACTCTACTAATTTAATACTCATTTTTTTTACCCATTCCTTGTATAAAACGTAATATCTACCTGTAAACTAACGTTGCTACTATAAACGACGCAATTAAAAATGTTTTCTCTTTTTTTATTCCATTTTGCTGGTGAGAGAAAAAGACATTAGTTTCATGGCTCTTAAATCTTAATCATAGCGAGAATGTTGGGCATTTTACTTAATTGTGGGTATTTTCTTTTTAAATTTATTAAATTATTGTAATTTAAAAAATTCAAAATTGTGCAATTAATCATATATGATTAATATAATTTTTTTAACCATCTGAATTGCTCTAAAAAACATCACAACTAATTTATATAAAAAAAAAAAAAAGTAATACTCATAAAATTGAACTTATTTTATCTTAGATTTTTTTTTTTTTTATGTTACACTAATCTAGTAATTATAAAAAGAAAACTTCGTTTAAGTGTTTAACTGAAAAGACCCACATATTGCTTGAGCATTGGTAGCATAATATCAGTGGGAACAGGATAAGTACTGTACTTACGGTATGGTGGTAGATTGATATACCTTTCCTTTTGCAGTCTTAATTTATGTTAACTTAGTATAATTTTTTTATCTTAATACAAAAAAATTAATTTATTATGTTAATTCGAGCTTAAATTTCCGAAAAAAAAATAATTGTGCTACAAAATTATCAAATATGAGAAAAACATGCTTATCCATCCTTCTCAGTTCCCATTCCTCTCAATTAATTTTCCCTTCATTTCCACCTTATCCCATTCTCCTTCAACGACTAGATACTTGTCAACCTTTATGTTGCCCCACTGTTGAGGGAGCTAAAATGTGTACGAGAATATATATATATATATATATATATATATATATATATATATATATATATACATACTATTTTATATAAACATCGAAACTAAGAATATTATTTGAATATTTTAAAAATATTTATTATTACCTAAGGACGATATTTATTCTTATATTTGTCATTAAACTTGAATGATATTTAGAATTTACGTTCACTTTATCTAGCGTTTGATACACTCAAATACGATGTTGACCTCCAAAAGAAGAATGGGTCACTGCTTGAGGATGTACATGACACGAAACCAATGATTAATGAATTCTTTTTTCATTTCATATAAATCACTCACATGCACAAATTGTTCATTTCACATTGTATCGTTAGAATCCCACTGCACTCAAGTTCCGTCATATTCATACTGCTCACTACATCTTATTCAAAAAGCAAAACCACACCACCAACAACAAAAAAATATACTTAGCTGGAGGCATCATAACGAAGCAATACAAAAACAGTTCCTCAGGCCTAATGCATAATCTAACAAAACTGGTAATAAGATCCTCCTAAGTTATAAAGAGTGGATCACAGCAGAGTATAAAATATTTTAATAATATATCAAATGTCTTAGTGTGTATATGATGGACCTAATTGGGTGTTATCTAAGCGGTTCTTTTCTTACATGAAAAGTTTATTATTATTATTAAATTGAGCATAACATCCACATTAAGATTAAAGAGGAATTGAGATTGTGAGCAAGCCACACCACTCAAACAATGTACCCAGAGACTTAGTTGATGTGCAACTTGCTTTCACAGCAGAACTTGAATAATGCTCTTGGTTTATACCATGCATTGGGCTAGTGAATTGTTCAATTATTACTTCATCTTATCTACTTCGAACTTATCCGACGCCATTTGATCGATACATCCACGCTTTTATTGGCTGAAATTAAAGTTGTTGAACAAAGTTGGGGTTTTTCAAATCGTTGAGGTAAAGTGAAAAATTGATGAAGACCAACCTCTGCTGGGTAAAAGAATTACGAAAGGGGTTAAAAAAGCAACGATAGACTTGATAAATTAAGTAAGCAATAAAAAAGTGAAATAGTACTTGAAAAAATCATTTTGGTGACCACTATTAAAAAGTAAAAAGTGTATATTTTTGTCTAAAGAAAAGAGCAAGCTCAATCATATGTATTTATTCTCTCCCTTGCCTGTACATCATTATAATATTATCGCATGAGAAATGTCAAAAATGGTTTCTGAGTAACTAATGGATCTGAACAATAGGGATTGACTTGGGTCAATCCACATGCCGGCCTTCTCTTTTTAATGAAAATAAGTAGAAAATATAAAATAAAATAAATGATGGATAACAGTTATAAAAAAAATATACATAAGAGAACTTGTTAATTTAAAAGTAAATAAAATAAGAAATTTTAATTTATACAAATAAGATCATATAAACAAAATACAAATATTCGACCCATTTTTATATTAGATCACTACTTTTACAAGTATCGATGATTATAGGGAAAGATCTGAATAGGAATGTTAGGATCTTCACATTCTGGCTATGGTAAGCCACAAATACAACGTTCCACTTCCACCTCTGACAATCCAAAGCAAACAAAAGAATTGGCTAGATTATGGATCCAAAGCTGAATTCATCATAGATTTCTTGATATGCAAAATAAAGGTGTCTAAAACGGCCAATTTACGCCTTGGTTGACACACTGTGTTTCCCCTACTCTGAAAATTTCCTATAATGTGTTGATCATTTACCAAATGTTACAATTTTCAATCCTCCCCTTTGATTAAAAGAACTATTATTCAATTACAATCACAAGGAGTCAGCCCACCCTTTTTTTATATTCTTTTTGGCAATAACAAAACGGAGGCGTCAACCGCACCGTGCCCATTTTAGGTTTTGGGCGGTTAATTAGTATTTTTTATATATATTTTTTCTCCCAATGAATTAATTAATTAATTCCTTTCCTTTTGTTGTTGATCTCTCCTCAAATCAACGACCACCGCGCTCACATTGTCCGTACTTTGCCTCACCAGCGCCAACTTGGTCAGCAAAATGGACGCGTCGGAGCACGCCTTGTCGGAGCAATCCACCGCCACGTTTCTACCCGGAGACCCCGGCGGCGACGCCAGTTTCTGCGCTTTAAGACACATCCTCACCACCTTGCATGCGGTGTCGTTTTGGACCGTGTCCCACAGCCCATCACTGCCTAGAATCAAACACTCATCGTCGTCACTCCGTTCTGTTACGGTTACCTCCGGTTCCGAAATAACATACGGCTTCAAATAATTGTCCCCTGCAAAACCACCCAACAAAATAATTCAGAACCATCCAATGCTACAATGCGCCGAATGTTAAAAATACAATTAAAAGTAATTCTTTTAATTGGCTATCATGCGCACTCACTCACTCACCTATGGCTCTGGACATGGCCAACACCCCAAGCACTCTAGGACCATCCCAGTAGATCACGCGCCCTCCCGCGTTTTGGATCCGAACCAACTCGTCGGGTCGGTCAGGCTGCCAGAAATGGATGCCAAAACCAAAAAGGTTAGTGCACTTGCCGAAAACAACAAACTTTTCACCACCACTCGCCACTACCACTAGTGGAACCAACACAATCAAACCAAATGATTTGCGCGTGTACGGAACGTGCCAACCACATAATTTCAATTCAATTGGCTCCACAACCAAATTCAGATGCCAACCCAACAAATGAATTAAATAAAAATTAGAGTATAAAATCTCACCTTATGATCGTTGGAGAGTGGGATGGCTACGCTGTTCCGGCAAAGAACGGCGCGTGAGTCGCCACAGTTAGCTACGATTATCTTTTCCGGCGTGACGACGGCGACGACGGCGGTGGATCCGACGGCGTCGCAATGGGGAGTTTGGAGCTCGCACCTGCAAGATGGGGTCTGGCTGCTATGGCTCCAACTTAACACCTCCTCATCCATGCGAGCGAAACACTTCTTCATCGTTGATTCCCATTCCAAATTCTCTTTGGTTTTTCCAACCTCTTCCTTCACAATCTCGTGTAGCCTCTCCTTGCACATGGTCGCCACCTGAATAATAAAAAGAAAAATTAATTAGTAAATTAAGAAACCAGATCTACCATCATGCAAGAGTAAAAAAATTGAGTATTTTTAATTACGTGTGAGCATCCATGACCGTCGAAAACGCCAAAGAAATGGAACCCGTTTTTATCCTGAGAACCGTTTTCTTGACAGAACCATGGACGAATCGAAACAGCGTCTTCCATGTCCCTCCTCCGCCCACAAACCGACGTTACCCCATACCTCGGACGCTCTTCAACAACCCTCGAGTGCAACAAAGAATTCATCGAACAATTCGGAAGCGACGCAACTTCAACTCCCTTTTGTTCGCAATTCTCAACCGCGTTTTCGCACTCTCGGGGAGGCGCCAGAGAGGTGCACGGATCCAGCTTCTGGCGCTTCCGGCTACTATCGGGCGGCGGGATCGCCACGTCAGCTATGAATTTCAAGGGAAGCAAGTCTAAACTCCGACGAGCGGAAGGCCGCGAAGTGACCTCGATCGGAGTGGGAGTCTCTCCGTCTCCAACAACACCACAGCAAATCCCAGCCATTCCAAAAAACTTAGAACCTTCGCTTATAAAATGAAACTCTTATAACTAATGAAACCGCGATGAAAATTGGAAAAGAGGAGACACGAAATCACGAAAAGCAAAAGAAAACAAGTATCACGGTGTTGGAAGAATGCACGAAACGAACGAAAGATCGATTGAAATGGCGTTAGGGGAGAAGCTTTTCTAGAGAGAGAGAGAAGAGGGGCACGTGGGGGCCACACACCCTGCCCGTCACCGTCACGGGCATCACCCCGACACATACAGTTGGTATGACGTCGAACCATTTCATCTAAGATTCAATCTCCACCCTTCATCTCATCACTACCTACTTCTGATTTCAACACGTGCCAATCTCTTTCCTCGTCGAACACGTGGCCCAATCGTAATGCTCCACGGTAGGTCGAAACTTGTTTCTTTTCTGACACGCATGTGGTCCTCTACCAATACTCTCTCTCCACCCGCTAAATATTTTCCCCCTTCGCATTTATGTTTCTTTCTTCTCTCTCCTCTTGATGTTCCCACGTGGCGACATCGTAAAATACGAGATTCTTGTTTGATTCTGATCTCCCACCGTATACGCTTCACATTCTCATTACAACAAGGTTCAAATATTAGTTGTATTTTGGTTATTTAAAGCTTTGTGGTATTTGAATTGAATTTAATAAATGAAAGAGTTAAAAATAAAATTGAAGAGCGTGAGAAGAAAAGAGCGGACGCAGGTGATGAATTTGCGTGGAAGGTTTGAAGGGTGAGATCGTTTTCCTTATTCAGGTCGTTCCGATTGTCCAATGAAAACGATATACGTAACAAGGGAGATGATGACACGTGTTTGATCGCATGTCAAACCCGATTGACGCTTACATCGATATCTGAGGTTCCCAAAATCGCTTACGCGCCGCGTGGCCACTACTTACGTGGAGCCGAAAGTCCCATTGTTCCCCTTTCGTCCAATTTGTAAATTAATGCTAGTTTCTGCCGTCCACTTGCTAATTACACAAAGATTAAGGCCTTAATTATTGTTTATGGATATTCATTCCGTCACTGACACCTGTCCCATGTGTTGTTCTCTCCTCCAATCAAGATGGAGGAATATATATATACACATGTAATTCACCTATTCAGTTTCTACTTTATAACCTCTTAACTCTGTTCAATAAACAATTTACAACACATCATATAGATTATATAAACATTGTTTTAAAATATTTATTTTGTCAATACCTTCAATTCACTTATTTTTATGATATCTCTTGCGGGTTTCGGTTTCTCCTTGATCTCGTTGCTTAAGTGGAACAATCATAGTCCACATATTACAATCAATTTTATTTTTTTTAATTGAGTCTGTTTAACGAAAGTCGGCTTTAATGACGCTGAGTGAAAGGGTCATCGCTTAACAAGTAAAAGTTATTATAGGCTCTCAAAAGCTCATATCGACATACAGGTTTAGCACTTTGATGTCAATTCTTTATCACTTAGGAATATAGTATGTTTCAAAGGTTGAGTTGTTCGTCCATTAAAACGGTACGTAAACTGAATTTTGAATTTAGAATGTTGTGAGATAGTTCGGATCTATATTTGATGTGAGTTTTAGAGCATTAAAAGGATTTTTTCCTAATACAAGAGGACTGATGTGCCAATTATCGTGTCCACGATAAACACTGAGTAGTATACAAAATTAATAAAAATAAAATATTTATTATATTGAATATAAATTATAACAATATTTTGTTTTTAATAAAATTCTATTATTATTAGATACTTAAATTCAATTTTAAATTTTGAGGTTAATAATTTTTTATCAACATGTATGCACAATAAATAAATGAATAAACTATATTAAAATTATATTATTTGATATTATTAATGTATTAAATTCTTCAATTATTAATAAAAAATATTATATCAAAAATTATAATGTATTTAGTAAACATGATTTTATATATATATATATATATATATATATATATATTATTTTTTTTTGTTCTAACTTATTTTATAATTTATTTGACGCGTGATATAATAAGCCTATTTTATAGGTTTATCTTCTTTTTTTTTTTATTATTATTATTATTATTATGAATTTTAACATACCATGTTAAAAATTTAAAATAATTTAATATATTTATTTGTTATTTTGATATACATTAAATGTAAAATAAAGACTATTCTATTCTTACTTTATTATGTTTTTATTTAATTTTTATATTCTATTTTTAAGAGTTGGAATCTTTAAAAAGGTTATTAGAGTCAATTTGCTCATTTATCAAATTGACGAAAAAATATTTTTTGAATTATTTTATTAAATAGAAATTAATGATATCATCTCATCTATTTAAGTTATATGCAAATAAAAATTTAAATAACAATATTTTAAGTTATTAATAGAAAGATTAACATGTTTCATAAAAAAATTTAGATTATATTTAATAACTTGTTTTTTACATATTAAATGAAATCTATTAATTTTTTTTTAAGGAACTATATTAAATATTCGTTTAAAGTTTTCTTTACGTGTCATTCTTATATATTTGTATGTCTAAAATCCAGCTTCGTGGCACTGCAAATTTCCCACGAAAAGTTTAACGTATCTCTACAACGTTGCCACGAGAAGGCAAACAAACATACACGCGTAAACAAGAGTTGAAGTGTAGACAAAGGTTACGGCTAAAACGGTCTTATATTTTAAGAGCATATACCAATAGGAATAGGACCATTATATAGGAATTCAAATCTATTAATCGTTTTTGTCTCGATTATCTTTTGAATAATTATATTATTATTATCATTATTTATTTTCTTTTACTGAAGTGTTATTTAATTAGGAAATAACGAGATAAACAGCGTGTTATACTTTGTGAGTCTACAGCGACAACATGTTGAGCATACAATCTATCTTCATTTCTCCTCATTAGTGTAATTTTAAATATAACGGTTAGTATTACAATGAAAAATTTTAAACCCTAAACTTCAAAATGAAAAAAAATAGAAATATATTTATTTAACATATTTTTAGTTATTGGCTAAAATTTATTAAAAATTTAAAAAAGGCTAAAACTATAGGGATTTAATTAACTATTTGATAACAAAAAATATAATAACTGAGGGGTTATATTCAGCTGTGGGAGAATAAAACGTTAACGTTCATTAGCAGTTGAATATGTAATATAAAGGAAAATGTAATTTTGGAATTTAAATTTATAATGCATTCTTTTTCGTTGTTCATCCCATGTATTTTTTCAAACAATCGAAACGAAATTCCTTTTTCGTTAAAATTTTTAAACAATGAAATGATATATATTTTTTAACATTTTCAAGAAACATTTGAAATAATTTATTTAAACTTATAAAAAATAACTTATATTTAAAAAAATTAATTTTTTCTGGCAAAACTTGCCAATAATTTATTTATAAAAAATTATAGTATAATTGATGTATAAGTTAGCGTTTAATAAAAGCTATAAAAAAATATTTAACTAAGTTTTTATCGGTCTTTTATACTATCAGAGTCTAAATTTCTGAACCAGTCGACTGTTAACCACTACTTACCATTCTTGTGAAAATTCCTTGTCATTCTTAACAATGGATATTTAGTTAGCTTGTCTGAAATGGAGATAAAATTTAAATGTGCCAAATTAAAATTGTAAAAGCTTAGTTAGATCTGATTTTTGAAGCAGAGAATTGAATATGTGACTTATTTATTGAACATGAGTCATTTTTTAAGACATTATCTAGTTTTCTTAAAAGTCGGGTTTGACTCTAACGAATAACTTAACTTATTTTCACCCTAAATCCAAAAATAACTCTCTCAATTTTGACAATATTTTTCATTTTTTCTATTTATATCTTATTATATTGCACAATTTATTATATCTATCACTTAAATCTTTTATACTTCTGTCCTTGTCAAAATGTAAACATCCATGAAAATGTTTTTCCTTCTTATTTTGGGTCCACAAAGTGATTCCATCTTTTATTTTTGGGTTGAGAAAGTGACTCCATCTTGTATTGGAAAATATGTACGCTGAAACTGTGATAAGTGGGCTTCTTATCGGGCCTTTGCAGATCTAAACATGGGCTTGCGAAAGTGTACCTTTGTATCTTGTCTTCCATGGATATATCTGTCGTCACATAATTCTGAAAATTTATTCCATTATTTTGAACGTTACCCAATTTGTCGATTAGCAAAGTGGCCTTTTAATCGTTTCGTATGAAATCATATTATTTATGGATTGTAGTGTGTATGCGTAATGATTCAACTATCTCAATCCTAGCGAAGTTGGGATTAATCTTGGATATCAAAGTATCGCTTCCCCTCCAATGGTGCTTCTTCGCTATCATGAATGGATGTGTCAGTTTCACTGCAATCAAACATATTACTTTGAATGACCTATAGACCAAATACAAGTAAAATAAAGCAGAACATAACTTTGTGAGGGCAAATTATTATTTTATTTTTTTAGAATCATATAATCAACTCCATAAACACAATTTTATTGGAGTATAAAAGAAATGAATCTATCTTCATTTTTTTAATAATATTTTTACTATTCAAGGTGTTTTTAAAACTCATCCTTTTTATTATTATTGACGGAGCAAAAGTTAAAAAAAAACACACAAAAGACTAACTATTCATCTTAAGAAAACAAAGATAAGCTAAGAAAGGAGAGAATAAAAAATTAGCTCCATGAAGATAAGCTAAGAAGGGAGAAAATAAAAAAACTAACTCCATAAAAATAAGTTAAGAAGGGAGAGAATAAAAAACTAACTTATATCCATACCTGAGAAGTACAATTAACTAGACATTGCACATAGCAATTAATTTATGTAAAATATGATAGATACTAACTTTCTTAATCGAACAGACAAGAATCTTGATTTCTATAATAATTAGATATAACTTATGATTTAAAAAACATTAAAATTAACTAAAAGAGTGACTAATTTATAATTTATTTAAACTAAAACACTTTCTAAGCTAAGATTTTTAACTAGTCTAAGCCCTATTAAAAAATTTCAAAGTTCAAAGTGAATAATACAATAATAATCTAATTTTTTATATATAAAAATAGCATAAAATTTGTCTTGATCATTTCTAATCAATCCTTTACATATAGTCAACTCCTGAACTCTATGAATTATACCATCCATATTTAGCT